TCTTTATTCTTTACCAGCGGGTCACATGTTTAACACGACCGTCTATATTTCTGACAACACAGCACTTTGAGCCACTCCTCGGCTGCCTACCCCGACATTTTCGCCACAGAAATCCACTCCTGTGGAATTTCCTCTCACTGGACCCAAAAATGCCCCTAACATGCAGCTCAGAGATACTGAGACGGTGGGAAATTGAAAGAAACAGACACGGTTGTCTTTGTAGGGCTCCTGGAGCCTTCACTAAACAGCTTAACTGTTTAAACAATGTTATAGATATGCTAATATGAAGCAAAAATGTGCAAAAAGAATTGATTACTTGAAAATATAAGTTAATAATGCTGGATAAATGTGAGCAAAGTTGTGTCTTGAGCCACAACAAGTTGTCGTTTGGTCAACTTTCTGGAGCCGAGGCCACAAATGAGTTCATCAACCTCGTGGACAAGAAAAATCACATCTTCTGTGTTTCAGCTTCTCACTATCGTCCTCGGCTGAGCTCTGCAGCATAAATCACACCGTTTTCAACAATGCTGACAGGGCAGATATGCATACGGTTAGAAACAATTTTTCCTGCAGAGAGATCTCTTCTCATTAGGTCTCCTGCTCTGCAACTTGTCCTCTCTGAAGTCTGCAAACAGGCGCTGCTCGAAACACGCGGGATGAGAGCCGTTTCTTCTAGAGTTAAAAGAGACTGCATTCTTAACACAAAGTGCAATAAAACAAAAGGGTCCTTTAAAGCCCACACAATCGAGCTCGAACATGTTGAAAAAATGAAGTGTTCGACTATGATCCACAGCTGCAACAATTTACACGACCACACCCCGTTTGTTGGGCTCATGAACCGTCACAGCAGCTAAACATGTGATAACTCTGACCTACTTTGATAAACTGCACCACACGGTTCGTACGATCCTGTGGAAATGACAAATATCACACATGCACCGCTGCTATTTTTGATTGTGTTGTTTTTAAAGGATAAAGGTCTTTAATAAGAATTTGGGGACTTAAACTGGACACCAATGAAATCGTACAAGAAAATATCTTAAAAAGACACGTTTACCAATCTTTTCTAACTTTGATAACAACGATTTATTTCAGAAATCTATTTCAGTGAGCAAAAGAAAGTTTAATTTGGTTACAACTCACTTTTTTACATACATTTTTAATTGTGTTTGTGCGGATGAATACTGTAGTCCCTCGTTTATCGCGGGGATCCATACCCTGAAGCCTCGCAATAAGTAAAAAGCCACGAAGTAGGAATAGTAGCACAAGTAGTACTTTATTTTAGTATTTATATTTAAATATATTAAGGCGTTTTAAACCCTTCCCACACTCTTGCAATATTCTAAACAATGTTTCTAAACGCTGTAAAAGAGCACAGCCTGTCATGATTTCAGCTCCCTGTCTCCATCTGCCAGCGCTCTTGGCCACGCCCACTGCAGAGCGGAGATGTGACGCTGCATGAAGAAGCTTCTCCTGCAGCTGTGGGCTGCACACAGATGCTAAATAATTTAAAATAATTTATTTTAAATAAAAATTCCATGCTGATTGTGCGGCTCATCCATCAATCAGCCAGTTGTGTGCCATGTCCAATCTTATTTTGAAAAACCGCGATAGAGCGAGTCTGCGATAAACGAACCGCGAAGTAGCGAGGGACTACTGTTAGTGTTGGTTGTGATACTGATCCTAAAATGCCAAGGAAGGCTGAAGCAGAAAAACGTTTGTGCCAATAACAAAGAAAAGTTGAACTTAGCTTCACATGCATCTGGTATTTCTTACATAAATATTCAATCAAGATGGCCTGTCAAACCAAAAAGTACAAAGAAATCTTCTTTGAGTGTCTTTTGGACTAACGTTTACAGCTTGGATATAAAAATATTAAAAATATTTTAAAAATGTGATAATGGCAGGCAGCATGGTGGCTCAGTTGGTAGAGCCGTTGCCTCTCAGTGAAAAGGTTGACGGTTCAAATCCCTGCTAGAGGCCCTTCTGGGTGAAGTCTGAATGTTCTCTCTGTGCATGCGTGGGTTTTCTACGGGTACTCCAGTTTCCTCCCACAGACCAAAAACATGCATGTTAGACTGACTGGTGAATTGTCCCTAGGTGTGATTGAGAGAGTGAATGGTTGTTTGTCTCTATGTGTCCCTGTGATGGACTGGAGACCTGTCCAGGGTGTCCCCCGCTTTTCGCACAGTGACTGCTGGATATGGGCACCAGTGAACGCCCCGACCTGAAAAGGAAGAAGTGTTTAAAGATAATGGATGAATGTGATAATGGCTTTTTTCCCCTTCTTTAAAACACTGTGTAAGCATTCCCTCCACTCAGGGGGGTCAAACTCACTTACTTAAGAGGCCAAAGTTAAAAATTTGGTCTTCACCAGGGGCCAATTTTTGTCAACAACTTTATAAAAAAAAAGAAAAGAATTTCAGTCTTTTCAGATCTACTATGTTTATAGTCCATGAGAAGTGCCAAAGTTGTGTCTCTCTAACGTGGGTGTGTGATGAAAATTGTGTTTTTTTACTTGCACACTGTGTCTTGTGCATTGCCACCAGTCAGAACTGCTGTTTATGAAAAGTGGCTGCAGTCAGCTGATATCTGGGAGCAGCATCTGCTGAGGAGCTGCTGATCTAGTCTGTTGGAAAATACAGCCGTCATTACAACGGTTCCAGCAAAAATGATAAATAAAGTGATAAAGAACTCATGGAAGGAGAAAAAAAAATGCACACAGGAGACAACATGCAGACACAGACTGCTCCCCATGGCTGTGTGACAGGGAGGGAATCTTGTCTAAGCATCACTGGGACCTGTTCCTTCACCGTCTGTCGGACACGATGGCGTTCTCTTTGTGACAAATTTACAAAGCAGCCCTTCTCTTCAGTTAACAACATAAATATCAGATATTTCTCCTCCAACTCCTCCATCAACTGAAAATAAACATCCACTGTGACAACCAGGCTGTCTGTGCTGATTCTGTGCTTGACGTGTGTGGCAGCTGGAGAACTTTGTCAGGACTTCGTCAGGATTTCTCCCTCGCGGTTTCTCTGAGTATTATTGAATATAACTTTTCAAGGCAAAAAAGACCATCTTAAATCACATCAGAAAGATCCCATGTCTTAAAGTCATGTGAAGTAGACCTTTAGCTCAAGACAGATACCAGACATCTTTCTTGGTAGAAAGATCAACCAAGGCCCTAAACCCCAAACATCTGCTCCCATTGGCACCCTAGATAACAGCTCTCTGCTCCACACAGAGGGATGTGGTAGCTCGGTGGTCTGTGGTTGCATCAGGAAGGGCATTAGGCGTAAAAACAATTGCCAAGTCTTTGTGCAACAGTTTGCTGTGGCGGCCCCTAAAGAAGGGAGCAGCCGAGGAAGGAAAAAAAAGTGAAATGATAAAGACTCAATGGATCAAAGAATGACAGACCAGTTCTACAACATTAAAAATAATTTTCTTGGGGCTAGATAAATGCTAACAAGGGCCATATCTGGCTCCTGGACCTTGAGTTTACACAGTCCAGTTCTTATTTAATACTGTAGAGGATTTTATATGGGGCAGGGGCAGAGCAGCCGACCCGGGCAGCCGACCCGGGACCCGAAAGCCCCAGGCTCAATCCCCAATCATTGCACATCTCGTGGTGTCTCTGAGCAGCACACCCTATTCCAAATTGCTCCCCAGGCGCCCCCAATAGCCGCCCACCGCCTCACCCGAGCGCATCTCAGGTGCAATTGGTCAAATGCAGAGAGCCAATTTTGCCATTGTATGGAAACATACATTGATGACAACACATACTATTTAATAACATAATTATTTGCTGCCATGAAAGGCTGGTGATTAGGTAATAGCCTCTTTCTGCCTTTCTGATTGTTTGCTAGCAAAATATTTCAATAAACGCCAGATGGACAGTGACCCTTTGATGCACATCTACAACTGATGTTGATTCAAGATCGGCGCCAACCTTATCAACCTCAGCAACACAAAAACAGCTAAAACAGTCAATTTTACAGATACTGAGCTCAGATTCGGTGTTGTAGTAGCTGAGAATCATCTGAAACAAATAACCCAAGCACTAACAGATCGCCCAACATCCACATCTTCAGCATCTTCTCGTTTGGGACACACTTGTGTTATCATACACTCAGCCACACACAACACTGACAAATACACCAGTGGTCCATTCTTCTGGTGTCACACACGAGCAAAGAGTGTCTGAAAGTGTGACTTTGCACTAGTAGCAAACTTCTTCAGCTCTGGTGCCCGTTTTTATCGAACACCACTTATCTTTCTGCTCTGTTGCACTGCATAAGCCCGAGGTTTAAAGACAGGAAGAGAGGCAGGAACAAACCTGCTGTTGACAGAGCAGCACCTCTGGACGAGTGCAGATGCGTTCCCAATGTTTGCGAGAGACAGATGGCAAGACAGAAAGACAGGTGAGGGGAGAGGTGTCAAGCCTGTCAACCCCTCCACCCCTCCGTCCACCACCAGCCAAGGCAAGGGGGCTGATGGACGAGGTGCTGAGAGAGAAACATTGGAAGCACAGCCAGAGGAGGTGGGAGGAGACGGATGACAGGGACGGGGGTTTGGACCTGTAGAGATGATAAAGAAGATGGAAGAGCGGGGGAAGGTGGTCCAGGTGTTCACCTCACAGCTGTACAGTCAGTTACAGGCTCCTAAGTATAACCTTTCTGTGCTCTGATATTTTAGCAGCCCACTTTCCCCTGAGTGTTTTCTGTCCCATGCAACAGCAAATACACCCTTTAGTCACCTCAAGAGTACAAAGACACCAAAACGCAACACTTTGAAGCACAACTTCCCCTTTCCAAACACCACAGCTCACAGCAGATGTCAACAAACCCTTCACACGCTCCATTTTTCCCCCAGATCCGCTTGGTTCCAGTCAAACATGTGGAAGCGATCTATAGTGTCCTCATGGCAGGGTTAAAGAGAGCCTCGCCGCACAGACGACGAGAAGTTCAAGCAAAAGCAACGAAGAGAAAGAAACTGACCTTCAAAGTCTGATATGATCCCTTCCAAGTGAGCGTTGACAGTGGAATCAGACATTTTGGGGAGGAAATGTTTGTGCGCGTGTGTGTTTGTGCGTTCAATAGAAAGAGAGAGGGAGCAGTGTTCCCTTTCCCCAGCAAGGAGAAGTCTTCCAGAGGCACAGTCTTGATTTTAAACAAATCCCAAATTAGGAGCCGGTGGTGAAGGAGAGAAAAGGGAGGTTAAAAACACACACACACACACACACACACGAGTTGAGCAGCTTGATCACTCCCTTTCTCTCCTCTCTTCCTTAAAGCAGCAACTTATTTTTCTCTTCTCCGCCTTCTCAACTTCCAGAGCTTGGAATGAGGCAACAGTGACACCCCACCACCCTCCTCCTCCCTCGTTCCTTCCCCCTCTCCAGTCTTCCCTCCCCCCTTTTTATCCCTCCCTGTTGCAGCCTTTCTCTCAAACCACTCATTTTCCACCATGCAAACACACTTCCTGTAAACGCAATCACATGACTCGAACACAATGCTCCTGAGGTGTTTTTAAAGATCAGCGTCCTACTTGGCCATTGGTCCTGGAAGAGAAGTTCTGTCTCTAACACAAGAAAAATCCAGAGTAAATTCAGAATCCATACCTGTGTGCTAATATGGTCACAGAGTGGCATTCTCAGTTTCTCTGGAGCCAGACATCAACAAATAAGTGGCCTAATGACCGCATTATTGAGTGTCTGTGTGTGTTGGGGGGTGAACAGGGGTGCTGGTTGGCGTGTACAGAGAGGTGGGAGTTGGGGGATGTCTGTATCTGTGTTTGTGTGTTTGTCCACGGATGTATGTCAAGAATGTGCTGGGATTGTTTACAGCCCTCGCAGTTAGTTTACTCAAAGAGCCTTTGGTCAAACTCTTGATCCACGAGTGCAAAAAGTCGGACTTTAAAAATGCTTCTTAGCTGAAATGTTCATTATTTAGTTTAGACCTAGAGATCTTAGCAGTAAAGCCTGAGGCAACTATTAAGCCTTTACCTGCACCAGGTAAATAAAATAATATGGTTCAAAAAGATCCTGAATCTGATAAAACATTGCACAATGCGCTACAACAAAAAGGTGTAACACAAAAACAGCATATCACTAAATGGTACAATGTAGGGATGCACAATATTGGATTTTTGGCCGATATCCAATATGGCGATTTGTTAAAACTTATTTGGTCGATAACTGACACCAATATTTTTATACAATTTCCTTTGTCAGAACATAGCCCTGTTATTTAGGCTTATTTGCTATAAAAATTGTGTAACAGTTGTAAGAGCTGGTGACATATATTCAGTAACAGCCATATGCATAGCACTTTAACTTATACCTGTATTAAATGAAAAGTGTTAAATGCTATTTATTAGCATTAGTCACCAGCTATTAGCTTCTGAGTGATGTCGGAAATAACAGCTTGTAACTCTGGTAAGGCTACGTCGGAAAAATATCTCTGACTGGGGACGATGCAGTGAGGCTCAACGTAGTCCAAAAAATTTTGGAATCCAACATCCTCATCGAAAAAAAACTTCCACACCGCTGACATCTTGACTTCTTCCTCTCCCCCGTGATCAGATCGGGTAGGTGCGCGTGACATCATCACGTTGTGCTGGCACTGCAGGCATCCTTGTCATTGGATTGTCATACAAAAACAGCGCCTTTTATATCGGTGATTTATTTTGATGGAATGGCCGATGTCCGATATTTAACTTTAACGATAATACTGGCCGATACCGATAATATACCATGCCGATAATATCCTGCATCACTAGTACGATGCAATATTACACAAAATATACAAGCAAGTGATACATAGACATAACAATGACACAAAATGATACAACACTAAATAATACCAAGGTTGCACAATATATCGCACATTTATCATCGTCATAATATCAGTCAGCACAATATTGCAAAAAACTTCACAGACCCTGATAAATCATAAGCCCTTATATTTTAGGTCCCATGTTTTTGTTTTGCATGCTCATATTTTTGGTCAGTCTAAAGTTATCCTAGTGGCCTTCATGTCGACACTGATGGTAAAAAAGTAAGTGAAAAAAAAGTGGATTTATTGCCACTGATATCGTCACAGCAATATTAAACAATATTGCACATCATAAGTTTCTCTATCGTTGTGCAGGCCTTAACAATATGACACAAAATAATATAATAAGAAAAAAATATGATGCAACACGTCAGTACGATCTGGAACAAGAAGTACAATATATTTCATAACTGAACAACATCCTGTAATACAACACAATATACCAGGACACAATACTATAACACATAATATAAGTCACAATGTGATACAATATGAAAAGACACAATGCAACAGAACACTGTATGATACAGTACGACACAAAACAATGAATTTAAATAATTCAATCCATCCATCCATCCATCCATCCATCCATCCATCCATCATCCATCCATCATCCATCATCTTTCACCAATTTCTTCCTTTTCAGGTTGCGGAGGTCACTGGTGCCAATGCCCAGCCATCACTGTGCAAGAGGTGGGGACACCCTGGACAGGTCTCCAGTCCATTACAGGGACATATAAAGACAAACAAGACAAACAACCATCCACTCTCTCACTCACACCTAGGGAGAATTTAGAGTTACCAATCATGCATGTTTTTGGTCTGTGGAAACTAGAGGACCAGAGAAAATCCACTCATGCACGGAGAGAACATGCAAACTCCACTCAGAAAGTCCCCCAGACCAGGATTTGAACCGGGGTAACCTGATTGCTGAGAGGCAGCAGCTCTACCAACTGCTCCACCATGTCAGCGCCAAGGCAGTATAACAAGCCAACCCTAACTATAGGATTTATCAAAAAGGAAAGTCTTAATCCCAGTCTTAAAACTGGACAATGTGTCAGCCGCACAGACAGAAACTGGAAGTTGGTTCCACAAGAGAGGAGCCTGAAAACTGAAAGATCTTCCTCCCATTCAGCTTTTAGAAACTCTAGGAGCCACAGCTGTAAGCCTGCAGTCTGAGAGTGAAGTGGTCTGTTAGGAAAATATGGAATAATAAGATCTGTAATATAAGATGGAGCTAGGTTGTTGAGGGCTTTGTAGGTTAGAAAGTAAGACTTTGAATTCAAGTCTGAATTTGAAATAACCAAAGCTGTCTCCATCCATCCATCCATCCATCATCCATCCATCCCATTCTCTTTATACACATCTTCCTTTCCATGTTGAGAGGTTGCTGGTGCTCATATCTAAAGACACTTTGCACCATTGTACCGTCCATAAAATAATACTAAATGCCTCTAAGTCATTTTTCACTATGGTTGCCTTAGAGGTCTTTAGAAGTGTTTTTTTTTTTTT